TGTCAGCTGCCTGTTTAATCTATGGCCGAATATCCGAATCGGCCAAATCTTTTTCTGAAGAGATTCAGATATTTCAAAAAGATTCAGAGCTTTTATTTAGTCTCCCAATTCAATTCAGATTCGGAGTTTTGGTCCCCAAATCAGGCCGAATCAAATCAGCTTGCGAAGCTTCAAACAGCCCTCGTCATTATAACACAGAATTCTAGGACAGGGGTGGCTCAGGGCATGGGGAAGAGGGGACTATGGACAAACAGGCTGTAAAGAATAAGGATTTGCCCATGTCCTGCAATCTCTTAACACTCATGCAGGGTAAACAGAGACCAGCTTTTAAGGTCTTGCCCAAGGCAGAGATGGCTATGGACAGAATGCACTTAGCAGCACTCGCCGTGTGTTCATGGGCAGAAAGGACAAAGCTCCCTGGCATCTCGCAGAGGGCAGGGGGCAGCTGGGAGGCAGGGTGATTTTGCAGACAAAGCTGCAGAGGCATCACGCAGAGGAAAGCCTGGTGCATTCCCTTCCAGAGACTCCCCGTAGAAGGGACTGCCGAAACAGGAGGCCGCCAAGTAGAAACTAGGGCTCCTCCAAACGCATCCGGCTATAAGGGAAGAGTTTTACGGCTAGGCACGTCTCCCCACAGGGTTTCCAGGCTCAGCAATGGAGGGCTAGGGCCTGGCCCCTGCTGCCTTACCTCTACCTGCAGGTCCCCGATGTCATCCACTGACCAGGCCTCATCGTCGTTGTCATAGTTAGGGACAGTGGTGAAGCTGCTAGCTCTCTGCTCGTGTGTGATGCCGCACTCGGGCAGGTTCTCCACGGACCGTGTGCTCCGGATCCGGTTCTCGGGGATCCGCGCTGGCACATTAGTGGTGTCAAAATTCTCACATTCAAGTACTTCCACGTAGATTAAATAGGGAGCCTGGGGGAGGTGACAAAGGACATCAGGGCAGCAGGGGCTGGGCAGCACTTGGGCGGGAGTTGGGCCATTCTCTTCTAGGCTTGCAGTGCCGCCTCTGACTGCAAACTCACCTCACTTGGACCCGCCTCAAAGACCCTCAGCACTAAATCAGCCCCCTGCTGCCTCCTGCTTTGTGCTTAAATCATGGAACACAGTGCAGGAACTAGCTTTTTATCCAGTATTTGTACAGCACCTAGCACCAGGCTGCCTCAGTCTGTAGCCAGGGTGTCAGCCCTCCCGAGCACTTTATGGCACATTAGTGAGCCAGACTGAATGTGTGCTGTGTTTAAGAGTCCTGTTCAGCACAGCACCCCATCTCACTTCTCTCTTTGCAGCTGAACAAAGTGCATAGCACACGTGTATTGGGTTCTATTCCAAGCAGAGACAGAAAGGAGTCTGCACTCATTGGTACTCGTATCTGAAAGTCAGAGGGCCCAATAAAATAATACAGTCATCCCCACCCATGCAAAAATTCAGCAAACAGAAGTCGGATCTATTTAGCCTAGTATCAAAGAGAGACAGTCGGGGTTGTCCTTAATGCTGGGTTTTGTCTGCAGCTTGTCTAGCACTAATCCTCTAATGCCTCAAGAGGATGGAGGTTCCCCTCCCTGGGCCACTCTTACCTTGTCCTTGGAGTTCAGCACCACAGCCTGGGTGTGGGGCACCCGCACGACGTGGTGGTCGAAGCCAGCCGTGGGCAGCCAGACACGTGCCGGCAGCTTATGGGTCAGCAGCGAACAGCTCTGAGATGAGGCGCTGAGTCTTCTGCTCTTTGGTCGGCAAAGTGGCCAGTCTCTTCCCGATGGCCATCAGGGATTTGATGAATTCCCTCTCGGGGGCAAGTCTGACAGGCTGCAGAGTTTGGGGGGGAGGGAGGAGAGAGGTGTGAAGCACCGACTGCATTTCAGGTTATTCGTGCTTCTGCAATGAGGACTCGGCCTACAGAAGAGAGGCTTCCCTCACTTCTCGCCATCCAACACCCTGCCTGTTCCATCCATATGCAAGCACATCTGGAAGAGATGGACTCCTCTCGCAGGATTTCCCTTCCATAACCGAACGCAACAACCTCCCGAAAAACCTCCTGCTCCCTTTAACTGGCCCTTTGCACCCAGAAGGAACCGTCTCCTGCTCATCAATCCTTGGGATGCCATCGCCTGGCACAGATGGCCAGCAGAGGGAGTGCACGTCCTTTCCCCGACTCTACCAGGCCCGGAGCTCCTCCGGATTTTTAATTCCAGCTCCAGGGAACATTCCTCCATCAGACTATTGCAGCGATAACAAGCCTCAGGCCCATCTCCTTCAGCCAGTGACCTCTTTGGGAAGGTGGCTGCTGTTTCTCACAGGCAAAGCCCTGAGCAACTGGACTTGGCCTGGCCAAGGGCATAAGCCCAGGATCGGATTCTGCCATGAGAGATGTGGAATTCAGCAGCTGCAAAGCACCCCCATCACCAAGTCATGCTGGAAACGCACATGCAGAAGCCAAGCAGCTTAGGAAAGAGAGAAAGTGAAGCTAAAACTGTGCGATGGCACCATTTAGAGCCAGGGAAGGCCAAGGGAGGTGGTAAAAGAAACCAAAAGGAAGAATAACCATATGTAGTAACCCCCGTGTCCTCCTGCATCTGTAGTCTGCACTAAAAATACTTTCAGGCTTCAATAGGTGTTGATCTTTGCTCTAGGAAGATCACCCATCGCTGTTCGCCCTCCGGATGCCAACGGCTTCCCTACAGCCCTACTGTGCCAGCCAACATGGCATGGGTGTCCTTAGGACAGGAACACCCCAGCCAGCAAGATCGATCCCAGGCTCTGGGCAGTGGACATCAGGCCCTCTCACACAGATGCATCCAACCCACGCCCTGGTAGGCCCGGCCCTTAAATGCACCCACAGCAGAGCTATCATGTCTGCACAGACCCGTCCCCCCCACCGAACCTGCCTCTCTACCTCCGCATCCTCTCACCGTTGACAGCCGCCCCAAAGTACTGCTACGTTTGCTGCAGGGAGAGCCAACATAGGGGGATTTCTTTTATTTATTTATTTTCTTTAAGTGCACTATCCCTTCTGATCTAGGCCCATCCCATCTTCTACCCAGAATCCTCTGGACTGCATAAGCCAGGACCCCAAACTACTAATTCCTCCCCACAAATTTTGGGCCAAGCTGTGTTGGCCAGCATGTGCGAGCCACCATTTCACCTAACGACACCGTGAAGCTTTTCTTGCGTTGCACACGCCAGTGACTCATAGTCAAAACCCGGATGCTTCAGCAGTTGCTTATGGTTGCGTCCCGCAACGCAACGCACAACCGCAAACCCAGAGGCACACGCATACTAAAGCAAAGCCCAGCCCTCCAGCAAGGGGTTGGAGCTACTCCCAATCCTCAGAATGAGGTCGATCATAGCAGCTGCAGCATCGGAGGACTTGGCGTTGCGAGCATGCAGGGCGCTGTCTGAACGTGAAAACCAGCCATCCCAGTCCCTTGGTCCTAGTAAGAAAACACCTGTCTCCCTTTCTACCTTCTGCCTCAAAACTCTTTCCAGAGCAACATCATCCTGATTTTAGAGGGAAGGAAGTCAAAAGGAAAAGGGAAGCGAGTAGCCCACGGCTATTGTCAGCAACAGGAACAGAAACTCAGCAGCTCTGGGCTCTCCCTCCCATCTCATTAGATATTTCCTGGCAATTAATTGTGTGGCTCAGAGATCTTTAGAGGCACTTTGGCCCTTCAGCCCCTCCACCAAGTCATGAGCTGCCAGGAAATGGCCTTCCTATTGGCTATTATTGCTAGGTCCCAAGTGCAAAGACTTCTTTGTTCTTACTTTGTTCTTCCCCAAGAGTGTCAAGTATGGAAAGTTCATCACCCCCTCATCCTGCTATGGAGAGGGAGCTTCAGGAAACATGCAATGCAGCTGGATTAGTCATCACGTACTCTGGATGGGGCTGCCAGCAAACAGGCCACGTCTCTAGCACGAACGCTGAGAGGCAGAAAAAAAAAAAAAAAATCCACCCGGCCAAGTCAAACCAATGTACAGCTGCGTTCCAGCATGAACACGCTCGCAGGAGGTTTATCCCAGGGTGGATCGTTCACATGAAGCCTCCGAAGTCAAGCAAGTGGCACTTCATTCCTCCCTGAAGGCTGTTGGCCTGGTTAAGGACCACGGTTGTGCTCTCCAGGCCAACTTAAATGGTCATTGTAATTAGGGAAGGGCAAGAGGCTCCCTCCTTAGTCTCAAGGAGGTCTCCTGGGTCAGGTTTGTGTTTAAATCTGACTGTAGCAAGAACATACAGGGCTCGCCCCAGCTGTGAACTCTGACAGCTGTGTGCAATGTGGACAGATCCGCACCCAGGTCTTTCCCATTGGTGATTTCAAGTTGGATGTACTTAGTCTAACATGTTGGAGCCCAAGCGGCGCTCATCGCTGGTCAGAAAGCATCTCTAGATGCTCAAGCCCTGCCCTCCTTTTCCAATCCTCTCCTGTTCCTTCTGGCCAAACTCCGCTGATTCTGCTTGCAGGGATCCCTGGCTTCCCTTATCACCCTCCCACCAGGTTCAAATCTCACCTTAGCCATCACTTTGCTATGGACCAACCCACTGCTTCTACCTCTTCCTTGGAGAGCCATCTCCTTCAGCCTCCTATTACCTTCTGTGCTCATATCTAGGCATTTGAAAGTGCTGGGATCTTAAAAAAAAGCCACCTCCACTGTGCTCTGGCCAGCTGAACCCCAGCTCTGTCCCATCAAGGCCTTCCTAGCTCTGCCCGAGTCCGTTGTCACATGAACCACTGTGCCTGGTGAAGCCTGAAAGAAGAGATCTCTCCTCTGCGGGAAGGCAGGCAGAAGGCAACCACTACGTGAAGTCCCTTCAGGGTACAGAACAAGCACTGAAAAGCTGAGTGGATCTCACAAGCTCATGGCATCAGACCCAAGTGCAGTTACAGATATGAAAGCAACATCACCGTGGCTATAAAACACAATACCCCTGAGACAGCTTATCCAAGGATCTGAAAGCCTTCTGCAAATATCACGTCTCACAGATGCTCTGCGAAGCAGACAGGTGCAATTCCCCTTTCTCTGAGAACGTGAAGAACAGAAAAATTAGCAACTTACCCATCATCATGCAGTAATTGGGAAAAGCAGCCAGGAACCTTGGCTCCCAATCTCTGCAGCTCTAAGCAGAAGTCTCTCCTTGACAAGAGCCCCCTGGCACCTTTGGGCTTGTACATTAATAATGGCTGGATCGACCAATGGATTGCCAACCCAGGTCAGAAAGCTGCTTCTACGCGAGTTTTGGGAGAAGAGCACCGAGAGAACCGAAATGTTCAAGGTCTCGATGGGTGTTGTTCTCTTACCGTGTTTCACTGAATGTGCAGAGAAAGGCCTAAAGTGCGAGTGAACTACAAAGCTGCTCAGAGGAGCAAGATAAGGCCAGATACATCCCAAACACCTCATTGACAACCCAAGAGGGCAATATGACACATGCTATTTGAGGGAAGGAGGAGGAAGTGCGAGACACTGATCATGGCTACGTTACACAAACCCTGCTGGTCTGGATTTTGGAGCATGAACTACATCAATCAATCAATCAATCACTCACTCACCACGCAGGAAAGCCAATTAGGACTCCCAGACTGAACACGCGCAGTTAGGAACAATGGTACAACGGATCAAGAGAGGCTAGAGATTAAGATGAAAAAGGCTTCATTTCAAATGAAAGAAAAATCGTGATCAAAAGAACAAAATTTCAACCGAAAGGAAAATGAATTTTTGTGGGGAAAAGAAGCAAATTAAAATCCCATCTGGCAGGCGGCTTGGGAGTGAATGCAAGGAAACAGCAGTTCCTCTTTTGTTTGCATCAAGGGAGCATAATTCAGCCCAAGCAGCTGTGTTATTCACCTGCCACCACGCTTCTTTTTTCATTGGAGCTGCTCCCCTCTCCACAGCTGGCTCTTTGTGGACGAGTTACTACGTCCCATTTACAAGCCCCTCACCGTTTGCTACTTCACGTCGGCCAAAACTGTTGAAGCAAACTGCCCAAAGCTCTGATGGTGTGAGGCGGGGTCTGCGGCAGGCCACGGAGAAGCATGGAAGGGACAGTGGTTGCGCTAGCACTGCAATCAAATAGTTACCCAGACCGTTTTCAGGGCCATTGATTCTGTGCAGGACAGGAGAGAAGTAAACCGCTACGGTTCACAAAGGCTCAGCCAAAGAGCATGCGCCGGGGTAAAAGGCTAGCAGAGGGAAGCTTGCTCTGCTTAAGGCAATATGGTGGCACAATGGAGTGGTTTAATCCCAGAGCTGTTTACAGAGCGTTTGGCAGGTGACTGGAGTTTAGTAAAAGTATTTCATGACAGAGGAAATGCTGCTGTGAAATCAGGAAGCCAGGCAGCCCAGTCGCTAGAACAAAACCGGCCACTTACGGAACAGAATGATTTATCAAGACTTTCCGTACTCGATGAGAGGTCCTGGGAAATGGATGGAAAGGGTTTCAAACAAAAAGAAGGAGAAAGAGGAAGGAAGGGAGAAAAGGCAAGAGTTTAGCTCCAGGTTTCAGACCATTTTTCATTTTCTTTTTAAAAAAATCACATTTGCTAACCAGGACCAGAATTTGCAATTTCCTAGTGAAAAGAATCATAGGTGCACTCAAGTCCCCATGAAGCTACAGTGATGAAGGCTCAGGGGACCTGGGAAATGACAGCTTGGATCTCAAGTCTGTACCCGCAAAGCCAGAGCACTTTGCATCTGCTTTTCAGACCCTACCCAGAGGTGCTTACAAACCATGTCAGACTTAATTATTTGTTACAGCACATAACCAAAGACAGATGTTCCCATATTTCCATCCTTCCCAAATACCTCTCATCCTGCAGAAACGTCATTCAGCAGCAGCTCGGCTCTGCAATCCAGACTGGGGCTGTTAGAAATGAACCACACAAGTCCAACCCAATGGCTGCTGTTCAGAATGGGGCTTGCATCTCAGGTCCAGGCACTGGTGGCAACCCTATGGGTGCTGTCTGCCCAGCCCCATGCAGCAAGCAGTTCAAACCCTCCCTCGGGCCTGGACCCTCCCTCATTTAAGGACTTCTCCTTGGCCAGATTTTTCCACCAGAGAATCCTCCTTGTGGTACTTTCTTCCAGAGTCAGGCTAGCACAGCCAGCAATTAAACTATTTCCATAATCAAGCTGACAAAGCAGTTGTAAGCAGAAGACAAGCAGCAGATTCACCAGGCAATCAGTGAATCGCCTCTGTACTGGCAGAGGCCTTCACACAAACCATTAAATCAGGCTTTGCTGCGGGAAACCGAGACAAATCACATGCAACTCCTCTAATGGTTACTCTAGATCTCGGCACAAGTCATTCCCGCAGCCTCGGTTTAACATTTGTTGCTGGATTCCTCCCACCCATCACACCCAGACTCTTATCTCGGAGCTGCATCCTGCGGTCTCTCTGGGTTTTCTGTCACTGTAGTTCCCCAACAGCAAAAGCAGAGAGGCAGCTGCAAGGACATCAAACCAAAAAGAGCTGATAGACGCTATCAGCCTGTTCCCTGCACGGTGCCAAGGGAACAGAAACCGAGGCTGGAATACATGCCTGCGCAGAGCAGGGATGCTCCAGGCATGTGGGTGCCTCTGGTCACTGAATGGAAAGTGTCCATTCTCTCCCACTTGGCACAGAACAAAAAAAAATCCCAGCCTAGATCCCCCTTTGGGCCCAGCCCAGCTGCCACTCACGGCACCCCCAAGGCTGCCTTGCACTTCGCAGCAATCCTAAGTCTCTAGGACATCTCCAAATGAGATGGAGGAGCTCGTTATAAACTTACCTGGCCTATGTATGCCGAACTTCCCTCTCTATTGGGGTAGGCAGCTGCAACTGGCCCGCAGGCTCCTAGAAGCTGATGGCATACTCTTCGAGAGCCCAAAGCCAAGGCAGCCCTTGCCCTCCGCTCCCATTTCTGCGGCACAACTAACGCATATACACACCGTACACTGTAAACCAACCCAGGAGTTTCAGCTGGTTTACTGAGCAGGATGCCACCCCTCCACAATCAGCACAGGCTACCTGGGGACTTCTGGACTTAACTCAAGGCATCGGCTTTGTCCCCCGCGGCTTCAAGATCTTCCAATTGTCAGTGCTGCCAAAGGAGCCATCAGCAAAGCTGGCTGCCCTCCGTTAGAAAGAGACAGGGAACCGGCAGTGGGGCACTTTCCGTGGAGTGAAGGTGAAGATGTGGATGCTACGGGGAAGGATCTGGCTAGCTGTATCAGCAGGCACGGACGCAGCAGGGCGAGCGGGTGCCCGATGGCAGGAGACTGCTACCGAAGGATTTATTCCTGGAGCAGTGGCCGAGATGCCTGGACTTCTGGCTGGGAAGCACTAATGATGATCTAAATCCAAAGCAATGACCACAAACTCCTTTTGGCAAAACGCTCCCCTTTTGTTCCGCGTCTGGCCGTTCTGACGCGCATTCAAGTCCAAAGAACAAAACCAGCGTTTTTGCAGCGCCTCATTTAAAATCTATTATTTTCATCCAGAAAGAGATGATAATGGAGCTCCCTACCCTGGAGGCTGGCGTGTAATTGGTTTTTAGAATTAGTTTCCCAGAGAGAAACAAACAGACCTGTTTTTAGCATGTTAATTACAGGGCTATGCTAATTCCACAAGGCTTAATCTTCCTATAAGAAATAATCGCATTTAAATTAATAGCTTCCTCATGACCACATTAAGAACTCTGATGATACCAAGACCTCCGGAGGTGGTTTACTCTTTTTTTATTCTTAGCGGGAGGCTCATTGAGGAACGAACGATTGGCTTTCTACCCAAGGAAACGACACTCAAGATAGGCAAACAGCAGAGGTATGAATATTCATGACAGACCTGTACACAATGATGTTGCCTTTTCTGCTTGATCCTTACCAGCAGTTTCCACAGGACAAAGATTTCCTTGCCCCCCTCCCTCCCAAGGATCCCACAGGACTTATTTTGATGTTTCTCAATTCCCCATGGAGACTCCACCCGAGGGGGAAGCTAAGTGGATGAGGTGGGAGGCAGCAGGCTCTTGCTTGAATTGCTCTTCTGTAGCAGAGACATAGGAAGGCTTGGGATGGGGCCTGGTACCATTGAATGCACTGTTATGTTTTGCCTCTTGGTCACAAATTTGATGCAGGCTAAGTTGGCAGAAGCCAGAAATGGTCACCACATGACATCCTATTTTGGTACCATGTAAGAGGTGAGGCTGCCCCATCTCAGCCAAGACATCGAAAGTCCACAGTAACAAACCTTCACAAGTGGCACTAACTAGCCTTTTATCTCAGTGAGCCCAAGGGCCAGGGCAGACTCTCCTCACTCCCAGCCAGCTTCCTGTTCCTGGCGGGGGGGGAAAAAACATCCTGCTCTGTACTTGAGGATTCAATATAGGCTTTAGGAGAGTTGCAAATCTGTCCCAACTACACACACACACACACACACTGCACTGGCTTATGCTAAACCTACCAACCTGTTTGGCAGGCATGCCACAAAATAGCCTGGCACCCTACCCAAATGCCACTTCTCCTGCCCAATCTTCTGCTCTGCTTTCTGCTCCCTGTTCTGTGCTCTGCATCTGACCTGCTGCTCTGCTCCCTGCCCTATGTGCTGCTGGGTGCATGCCCTCTCCCCCATGTTGCATGCCACACAGAGAAGCCACCCATGCCACTTGTGGAACATGTGCAGCTGACCAGCCACTCACAAGTTAACCAGAGACCTGCTCGATTAAACAGAAACTCCATGGTGGACACATGCCCGCACCTGGATCGCTTTGGTTTAGCTGACACCGATCCATCAGCTTATATCACTTCAGCTTTTCCCAGTGCATTTCAGACTGTTCAAAGCTGCACCAGCTCAACTGCAGTATTGAAGTCATAAAGTCATAGAAAGTGAGGGCTGAAAAGGACCTCATAAATCATCTAGTCCAACCCCCTGCTCAAAGCAGGGCCATCCCCAATTAGATCATCCCAGCCAAGGCTTTATCTATCCAGGTCTTAACCTCTCTGAATAGCCTGTTCCAGTGCTTTACTACCCTCCTTGTGAGAAAGTTTTACTTTATAGCTAACTTCAACTTCCCTTGCTGCAGCTGGAGCCCATTGCTCCTTATCCATCATCTGCCACTGCTGAGAACAGCCCAGCTCCATCCTCTTTGCAACCCCCTGCAGGGAGTTGAAGGCTGCTATTCAATCCCCACTCAGTCTTCTCTTCTCAGAAAAGTACCCGAGCAATTCGTCCGCTGCAAAGAACTCGAGAAAGCCCACAACAGTTCACAAGGTTTTTAAACACTGTTGGTTCCCGTTTGAAAAATCACTGGGTTTAGCTTGTGAATCATGTTTGCACACCTAACAGTGCTAACGTTATGAGGCACCCTTAAATGGACCCCAGGGTGCCAACACACGTTGGTTGAGAATCACCGCCCCAGAAAAACAAGCCACAAAAGTCATCTCACCTGCAAGAGGTCTCCCTTGCTCCAATGACACCACTTAGGGCACATCACCTCTGCAGTACACAACCTGGCATGGGAAGAGGTCCTTATTCTCCAATTGTGAGAAGGTAGAACTTGCTTGCTGTCTTTCAAGTTACAAAGCCAGGAGTCCAATAAATCCTCCTACATGGAACAAAGCCACCTGGCTGCAGCTCTGATGTGCGACAGGCCAGCTGGCCTGGGCCCCTGCCCTCCATCCAAGAGCGATGGGTGAAGTATTGGGGTGCAAGACCTCATAGAGCTTGGGATCTAGTTAGCAGCGCTGTCCATCTTTGTGCCTGTAACTTCTTGCATACAAAGATGAATGTAAGAACTGCCATTTACTGGGTCAGACTGTAGACCCAGCAGATGCTGAAAAGGTAGAGTGAACTGGGTCTGACCAGCGGTCTTCCCTCCACTGTTCCTCTCCCCCTTCCAGCCTCCAGCATTTAAGGTCTAGGATATTCTGCTTCAGAGGCTGTACAGTCTCATTCTTGTGCTCAATAGCACTGAACTCTCCTCAGGTGCAGAGCATATTACTTACTTCAGAAACCTAGCATCAGATTCCAGCTTTCCTTTACTAGCCAAATAGCATAGCAGGGAGATTCCTTCCCTATGCATCCCAGGTGCTTGGTCACCACTACCAGCTGCTGCTCTTGCCCGTGTGCAATCTAAAATGCTACAACACACAGCAGGATGCAACTGAGGCACTGTGCACAGATTAATTAGCTGGGTTACCATTTGGGTAAGGTGTCTTTCAATGCAAACACTACCGCATTATTACAAACTAGCAACCACTGATTGTTTGAGTTAAATTAAAACCTCCATCAGGTAGGAACTGATAGGCTTAGTACACTTGTCTGCAGTCACTGTTGTCAGGAGGAAATTCCCTGTCGTGCAGAACTTGAGAGGGGGTATTAGTGATGCAGTAGCTTTGTCCTGGCTCTCTCCTGAGAGATTTCATTCTTGAAAATCTGGAA